TGTTCCAGTCCACATGTATGCATGTATGCACTTATATGACATTCTGCTTTTCTACCAAAAATGGCATGCAATGTGAGTCTAGGATTGTTCTGCCCAAGAGAGATTAACCAACAATGGAAGTAAGTGATCCTAGCAGGAGTATCTCATCTGAAGCTGAGAAATAAATAGCTCATATTTCAGTGCTTCTATAATATGATCATATTTTTTTCCAAATGTAAGGACAATTTATTGAATAGGATGTTATCAAAATGAGTTTGATCTCCTAGGATTTGCAGAGCTAGCCCATGATATTTTTTGCTGTCCTACACCATGCCTCGGCTTGCCTCCACAGCTTAAGTGGCCCAAGGGCTTTTTAAAAGAGTGATATTATGTTCAAGATGGGAAATGGCACATATTTTCTAAACCACTTTTTAGCAGTGTATGTGTCCATTTCTTCCCTTAACTGCTACAACCTGGTTTCAGCAATGTGGAATGAATAAATTGATCAATACTGTTTTAGGGAAGCTTGATCTACCTGTAATAGTCTCTGGGACTTTTCCAAATTAATGTTTACTAACATTACTTCACTTCTAAATCACTTGAGATACTAAATCCCCTCTACTCAGCACTGGTTAGGCCTCATCTTGAATACTGTGGTCTAATTTTGGGTATCACAGTTTAAGAAAGATGCAGGCAAACTGGAAAAGATTCAGAGGAGGGCAGAGGATGAAAACAAAGCCCCTTGAGGAGAGATGGAAAGAACTAAGCATGTTTAATTTTCAGCAGGGAAGAGAAAGGGAAGATATGATACCTCTCTTCAAGTATGTGAAAGGTTATAACACAGAGAAGGACAACAATCTCATCTCAATCATCCATCATCCCAGAGTGCAGGACAACGAATAATCGTCTCAAATTACAGGAAGCCAGATTCTAGATTAACATCAGGAAATCTTTTTCCAGTATGACAATGGAGCCAATTTACCTAGGTAAGCTGTGGTCTCTTTCACACTGGAGGCATTCAAGATGCAGTCAGATAACTATCTGTAAGGAACATTTGGGGTCCTGCATTCAGTAAAGGCTTGGGCCCAGTGATTTTATGACTGCTTCCAACATGACTATTAGACAATTCTATTAATACATTTCTAATCCATCTATCATACTTAACAAGACCCACCAAGGTTGTTTACTATGCAATCAAATCCAAACTAAAACAGAGATTAAGAAGCCAGAAATGATAGTATGATTAATATTTGTGTACAAGATATACTCAAGAGCTGTTAATTCCATGGTTTCTGGCATAAAAGAGACTATCTGTGGCTCCTAATAAAGACACATTTGGGTTATAAAATAAGTTCAGTATTATTCTTGCTAATCTGTACAAAGTACACAGTAAAGAAAGAATATTTGGAACTGACATAACATACCACAAGGTAGCGGCTATTTGTTTATTATTTACAATTATTATTATTGTATAATTATTTATACAATTGTATTATTGTTTAATGTATTTTGTATTCAATGTTGTAAGCCGCCCCGAGGCCTTGGCAAGGGGCGGCATAGAAATGTTTTAATAAATAAAATAAATAAATATTATAAGAAAATATCAGATTCATAAATAATTGGGAAACCATATAGATGATTTTGTAAACAGAATGATTTCTATCTACATTTTCACATTAGATAATTGTTTTACATTATTTTTGCTAAAAGATATTCATAGATTTCATGTGCAACTCATGTTATTTGCTTCACTAACAAATAAGTTAATATAATATTGATATGTCATATAATATTATCGGCATGATATTATTGACTGAGATGTTTGGATAAATCTATGGAATGCGCTCCCCAGAGAGGTCCGCCTGGCGCCATTGTTATTTGTTTTTCGGCGCCAGGCGAAGACCTTTTTATTCAAATGTTATTTTAATTGTTAATATTATTTATCCATTTTATTCTTTGGCCAGGGCGACTTAATTTATATTGTTAATTTATATTGTTAATTTATATTGTTTTATTGAATGGTATTTATTTATGGTTTGTGAGCCGCCCCAAGGCTTTGGCGAATGGGGCGGCATAGAAGTCGCCTAAATAAATAAATAAATAAATCCTCTGATATTACATTATATTTCAGATTTATGAATAGTAGTTGCATTTTATGGCAATTCTTTGTCATGACTATGTTTTGGCACTGGTTGTTTCTAATTCAATATTATTTATTATAACTGAACAATTGAGATCATAAAGCTGCAACCGTATACATATTTACTTGGGATTTTATTATTTTATTTTTAGTAGATAAGTATACTATTTTGCCTCTGTCAAGTTGCTATCTGTTGTACATAAGGAAAGCAATGCTGTAAAGTAAATAAATGGTTAATATATAGATATATCAAGCACTAGCTCAAAGCATCAGTTACTAAGTTCTCCTTTCAGGCTGCATACAAGCATTGTAAAGGTTTCTGGCAGAAGGATGGCTTAAGCAACAATTCGTTTTTATTCAAGAGTTTTCCCAGCCAACCATTTACACAAGAATCCCTAAAGGGCCCCAAACAACATTTTAAGAGTTTGGGAAATTTTAGATTTACTTACCAAGCCACTCAAACCTGATACTTATTAAATCCCGAGACATGTAATACACTCCAGGTTACAAGGAGCCATTCTGAAGCTCAGAGAGTAACAAGACCAGTTCATGTTTTCATGGTTTAAAAGATGCAGCTATTTTCTTACTACTATACAATGAGTATAAGCAATTATGATTTGCTGGCTTGTATAGTTAGTTGTTTGGGTTAATATAGTTCCTACTCATAAAATCAGGGAGTGGGGAAGGGATTGGGGGTTAGGAGAAACCTTCCAAAAACCAATCTAAAGCTGGGGCAGAAGCTTCAAAACTTGCTACAAATGTACCGAGTGACTCCAGGCAAGACCCTTACAGTATCATTAGTTAGAGGGAAGGGAAGAACTAAGTAGGCTTAAGGTTCAGGTTAGGTATGCATTTAGATAGAGCTTCCAACAGATCTAACAATGATCACTGTTGTATTATCTATTATGACAACAGGAGAAAAATCTTACGTGACACTCAAATATTATCAAATGGAAATGGGGTGTAAATGTAAATGTAGATATAAATGCATAGAACAAATAAATGGTCCAGTGCTTGCTGAAATAACAGACATGCACAGTTCGTCTATGTTCTTAAGTGGGAATCAATTCTCCAGCATTGCTATAAGAGGAAAGAGGAACCACATTTATTTCTTCAAATTTTGAGCAAAAGGATATCATACTAAGCTGAGAATCCAGAAAGCAAACCATAAGATCAGACTGAGAGTTCCTCCAGTCCAGCATTCTGGTTCTCCCAGTGGCCTATCAGGTGTCCCTAGAAAGAAGCCAGCACGTGAACACAGTAGCTCTGTTCTGTTGTTGCTCCTGTGCATGGGGCACTGAGAGGCACACAGCTTTTGAAGTATGGGGGTTCCAAACATCTCTTAACTCTGCATGGGCTGGAATCAACCCCAGTGCAAACCAAATTAGACCCACAGGGTGGAGGTTGCCATTCCCTGACATAGACACTTGTACAGCACCTAGACGGCATCCTTATTTTACAACTTAGAACCACATGCACCCTATTCAGAAGTTCAGTTACAAGACAGATCAAACACTGAGAAGGAGAGTTCTCCAGCCCCATCCTTCTCCTCATAATATTCATCACTCTCCACTTGTGGAGATGACTGTATGACTGCCGCCTCTGTCCATGGAGGCTATATATACAGAAAGAAAACATTTCAATCATAAAGTGACTGAACACATACAGAGTGGGGGGTTTTCCCACTAGTAAGCAATCACTTCCTTAGAAAAAAGCTTGCAGAAGTGACATGCAAAACATGCACAACAAGCAAAACAGAATAATGACCTCACAAATCTCCATTACAAATAAAAGAAAACTTGACCTCAACTGAATAAAAATTGTATTGCCATCATGCCTACATTCCTATGTTAGGCAAGAAAGCCTGGTTATTTGCTACAGAGTCAGCCTTCCTCAACTTGGTGCTCTCCAGATGTTTGGACTGCTATTCCCAGGATTCATGACTGGGGCTGATGGAAAATACCTGGAGAGCACCATATGGGTGTGCACACACTCACATGCACACACAGACACAGAACACTCATATGCTGTTTATTTGTGAAGCTTTGCTGGGGTGTCAGAACAAAAGCGAGGAATAATGTAATCACTTTTAAGATTGTGGTTGAGTTCCCTTGGGCAGGTGAAGGACTTCAGGGTAATGTGGTTATGCAGCTTATTCTGACACATTCAATAGAGTAGAAGGTGGAGAATTCCAAGGTCAGTAGCATGCCTCTCCTGAAAACCTGAATCAACCTTTTTTTTAAAAGCTCCACTTCCCCTGCTAGAATTCTCCAGAAGTAGAATACTGGTGCATTCCATGGTACACAAAAGTATACTCCATTTACCTTAACCCCCACCCTCCACTTTGGATAGTCTCCATTCCAACCTATCTTTAACACATATAGCTCCTGTCCCCATAAATTTCCTTCCCCCATCCCATTCAATACACAAGTTCAGAACAGAATATTCAGGAAGAAAAAACATTGCCAGAAGGCCAGCTGGATCCCTTGGACTTCATGGGAGAACACAGAACCGTCTAGCACTTCTCAGCGGCAACTAGAAATGTGCTTCTTTTGAGCAGACTGTAGCGTGTTGTTTCTATTGGCGGAGATGTGCAATGTTATCTCCATTACGTCTAACAGTTTCCTCACCCCCACTGATTTTGCCTGTGGTGAGATTGAGGCAATTCAGACTGAGGCATTCCTGGATACCAATAGCAGTCAGGTATCTGTTATTTTCCCCAGTCTGAAATACATGAGGTAAGTTGCATCTGATTCTAACTCAGCATTTGAGCCCACTCTTTTTGTGAAGTTATCCATCTAGTGTCTCAAAGTCTAAATTGGAAACTCCAAGGAATATGCCCTAGAAATGTTAACTACATTGCCCTCACCAATTAGCTTACCTGTATAGTTAGGGAGGCAGAGACAGGCATAATTGTTTATCCCATCCATACAAGTTGAGTTGTTCTCACAATCATTATCTTCACAGTCATCTGGATTCATTTCACACTTCTTCCCCTCAAATCCAATAGGGCAAGAACAACTTTTAATGGAGGAATAAAGAAGACGATTAATATAAGTTTCAGTTCAATATGTGTTTGAATTAGGAAATGTGAATATTGTACATCCATGAGTTGACCTCTAAAGCTTAAATGCTGTTGAATTACTACAGATTTAGCTTCAATGCAAAGCAAATGTTTTATTTACTCTTCTTTACTCCTGTGACTCAGGCTCAGCTGTCTAGGCTTTCTATAAAAACCATGACATGCCAAATGAAGATAATATTTCAGGGTTTCACACAAAATTGGCTAAATGTCTCAGGAGCAGACTTGCACACTGAAATGATCAGAGACTGTCCCATGTACTGGCTTTGTAGCATCACCTAATGAAGACACAAAACAGCATCATAGGCTCTGAAAGTTTTCAGCCATGCAGCTCGCATGCAGTTCAGGGGGTGTGTTTCTCAGATTAATGGTCAGACGAAGTGTGAGAGAGGGAAAGAAGGTTTGAACTTGAACATGCTTTCATGGAACTAAGCTCCCCATTGTGCAGGGAAGGATTCAATCAATCAGCCTTTTACTTAAGCCTGAATTGACGTTGCCTAGAAAAAGTGACACCATTCTGCTCATTGTATAAATTAGTGCAATTATTGTGCAGGGAAAAGTGACATGAGACTTGGTCTTCAGATGCAGCTGTACCATCTGTGCATTAAACTACCAGATCTTGGGACAAGGTGTTAGATTGTCTTAGTCCTGCAAACAATGATTTCCCAGAACTAATGTCAATGGCCCCCTCCCACCACTGTTCACATACCAGATTTTCTCAGTTGTCACTGTGCTTAGGGGTGAACAACAACACCCAAATGGAACTGGATTGAACACATGTTCTTTGCCCCAAACTCCAGTGGGAAAATGCAGTGAATCAGATCACATTACTTGAATTATGTCCATTGTCTTTGCAATGTAACATGGACTCTTGTAATGGCAGAATCTATTGGCAGTTCTACTGAACACTATGGGTGCAGTTATAGGTTGTAATTCTCTTATCTGTCATGTTACTCTTTAGAACATTTTCCTTGTTTATGGGCAGATCTATGGGAGACTGCTATAGTAGTGGGACCAGTTGCACATGCTATGGTTGCAGAAAGAAGCACACAATCTTATGTGCTTCCTATTTCAAACCCTGTGAGTAGAAAGTGTGTGTGTGTGGGGGGGGGGCGGGTTGTGGGTGCATGTGTGTGCGTGTGTGTGTGTAAAAGACAGACAGGCAAAGTTCTAATATCTGAATTATGAATTAAAGGAGCTATGAAAGGATAAAATGCAGATGAAGGTTATTTTATGAACATTACACCATATTTACATGAAAAGACTGATGATTTCATATGATTAAACAACAAAGGAATGGCAATCTTCTTTCTTAAGAAGGAACAATTCATCTTATTTTTAAGGGTAAAAGTACAAAGGGATCAAAACAGTGTAACATGTCTAAACAAAATTTTGGATTTTTGCAGACCATGACAAAGCACTGCTGCTGCTGGAGAGAGAGGGAAAGAGAGAGAGCGCGATTGCACCACACAGGATGTGAAGTGATTGTGAAGACGATCCCCAAACACTGCTCATCCTACACTAACCATTCATATGTCACGATTGCTGGAAGGGATAGGAGGGTCTTTAAAAGGGATGACTGAAAACAAACTGCTTGAATCAATTCTACTTAAAACACACTAAATCAGTATGAAATATTGTCTTTGCCTGTCTTTTACCTCATTAGAACCAATAAAAAATGTCCTCATTCTGACCCTGTGGAGATACACAGGATCAGAAGAGGCAGATAAGAAAAGAGAAGAGCTGGCACAGCATCTTTTGTAGCCAAGAAAAGAGTGGTAGGAGGAGGATAAAAGAACTCTAATTAAATAAAGTGATCCATTCATCATGTCTCGCATTTCCATTACAAAACTCCATTTTTCAGGGGTTTATAACTCAGCCATAAAAATGCGCTCTAGGCTGCAACTTGGCACACAAGGTCTCAGTTTGGGAGAACAGATTCATTCTTTCCATTTTAAAGAGAAATTAAAGTAAGGAGTCTGTGCTTGTTGTTTTATTTGCTGCTTCTGACTGAACAGGTGATGTTTACAATTAAAATATACTATTAATATCACAATCCTCTTCAAACACTGCATTTGCTGCAACTAATGCAAATTCAACCATTTTGCTTTAGTTATATTAGTGTCAGAAATCATGGATTTGTGACAGAGGAGGGAGAGAGAAAGAGGAAGGAAGGATGGACGGACTCTCAATTTGGATACCATAATTATTAATATATATGCATAGAAGTTCAGAAGACCAGTTTCCCACAAGATTGCACAGGCAGTTACTGTGAAATGTATGTTTTTTCTACATGTATCGTTAGCCAGACTTTGCTACATGCAAACTTTCCTCTCCATATGCCACACCAAAATTACAGGGAGGACAAAGCTGATTAGCATCTTCTCTGGCACACTTGAAGAAACTCCAATGTAAGTTCCATTTCACGTGGAAATCTGAGCTATTAAACATAGATTGAATGTACTGCTTCTGAAGAAAACATGGGGAACAGCAAAATCTTATATCTGAATGTTTGGGCCTGGTTTTTATGTAACAAGAACCTGAAGTATGGAGTGACTATGAGTAGTTATGAGAGTACAGATTGTTGCTGAAATGTGGGTTGCTACTATGAATATTGCACTATGGTCTAATTATGAACACTCCATATTCAATTCATACTCTGGGTTGTTTATTGAGAATAAGGTTATAGTCAGACTACAACTAGAGGTGGAAACTGGAAGAATGGAGTTTAGGAGTAAAAGTGAAGTTTTATATTTGTTGTCCATTTAAGGAAGGGGCATTTCCTCCCCTATTCCTAGCTGGAATTATAAATGCTGCTAAGTTATAATAGCTGGATTGAGGAGTGGTACAAAAGTTTTTTTAAACAGTCAGTTATAAGTGCCAATTTACTCTAATGCAGTTTTCAAACAAATCTGTGACCAATTTTGAAAGTACCTTATTGGCAATGGATAAATTTGGAATTGATGAATAATATATGCATTTTTGAATCCTAGAAAATTATTAAAAGGAGTCGTGTGTGCAAACTCCTTAGGCTAGCATGTTGTAAGAAAGACACTAGTCCTTCTTACATAAGATTTTGCCAAAATACGGTCTGGTTGTCATGATCTATGGCATGGGTCCTCAAACTACGGCCCGCGGGCTGGATCCATCCTGCCATGCTGATTTATCCGGTCTGCCTCCGGGTCCGGGTTTGGACTCGCTCAAAGAAAATGATCTTTGAACAAGTCCAAAAGCTCTGAGCTGGTGCAAGCATACTCAGTGGGGAGAAGGCTGTGATTGCAGTTGTGCTTGTGCAGGGAAGACAGGCGCAATTGGAGTTGTGCTTGGGGTGGGGAGATGGCTGCGATCGTGCTTTGGGGGGAGATGGCCACAATTGTGGCTGCCTTCCCTGCATGAGTGCGCCTGCGGTCGCACCTGCCTTCACTGCACGATCGTCCTCTGGGGGGGTGGGGGAGATGGCCATGGTCACGCTCCTGCAGGGAAGACAGCCATGATTGTGGTCATGCTGGGGGTGGGGGGAGATGGCTGTGATCATGGTCGTGCTGGGGGGAGGATGGCTGCAATAGCAGTTGTGCTGGGAGGGGGAGATAGTGCCTGCCTTCCCTACATGATCGCGATCATGTCTGTCTTCCTCCCCCCAGCACGACTGCGTCGCGCTTCACCCCCCCCCCCAGCACGATCACAGGCGTTGTAGCTATGTCCCTTGAATATGGACATGCTCTTCCCCACCTCATCCTGGGTTTCTGCTGCATCCCAAGCGATTGGAGCAAACATTTTTTAATTTTTTTAAAAAAATTAATTATTTTTAATTAATTTTAATCAATTTTATTGTGCAGTGTGCATAGGAATTCATTCATTCTTTTTCAAACTATAGTCCGGCCCCCAACAGTCTGAGGGACAGTGAACTGGTCCCGTTTAAAAAGTTCAAGGACCCCTGTTCTATGGCGATTAATGTGTGGTCACAGACACACTCCTAGTTCTCTTATGAGTATGTCTGTTGGCATGATTGGAATTAACTAGGCATTTCTGAAAAATGGCACCATGTAAGCTCTGTGTGCCAAAGATGTGGCATGAACATGAACAGGAATTTCTTGCAACTTCCTGAATTTGAATGAAAAAGTTTGCACTTGCACTAGTGTG